AGCGAAGGATAAAATGCGCATCAGGACTAAATCACAAAGTTATTACCGGGCAAGCAAGCTTGGGATTGGGGATCCTGTCTGAAAAGGTAAGATAACACGGAGTCCTTGACTTACGACCATAATGGACCTCCTCCCCTTGTAAGCTGTGGAGGCCGGGAAGCAGGTCTGTATTTGTTTTTTCCCACTTTTTTGTGGTGGTCACTAAGCCAACATGGTCATTAAGCAAAGCCATGAATCCCAATGGGCCATTTTTGTCAGAAACTGAAAGTAAATGCCGGGGGGGCTTTTGGGGTATGGGGTGGGGAAGTCTTCCAAAAACATGGTTATGTGATCATGGAACGCTGCAAATGGCCATAAAAGTAGTCAGTTATGGAGCGCCTAACATAGGGTCATTGTGACTGTGGGATAATGTGTGGTAAATATCTTCCGGGAGATCTGCCGTAACTTTGAACAGTCACTAAATGAGGACTAGCTGTAAGAAGGACAGTCTGAATATGAGACTGAATACGAAGGCTACCTGGATGAACACAGTCGCTCTGGCGTGAATGTTTGGTTCAGCAGCTTTGTTCTTTCCTATGAAATCCAGAACATTCCAGATGGGTTGAGAACATTCAGTGGAATTTCTTAATGCTATGGTTCTCAACCTTCATCACTTGACCCATCAGTGGAAGAGCTTTCCTCCAGAAGTTGTGGGTGCTCCATCCCTGGAGGTTTTTTAAAAAAGGCTGGACAGCCATTTAAATAACAGAATAACAGAATTGGAAAGGGCCTTGGAGGTCTTCTAGTCCAACCCACTTGCTCAGGCAGGAAACCCTACACCATTTCAGACACATGGTTGTCCAATCTCTGCTTAAAAATCTCCAGTGATGGAGCACCCATAACTTCTACAGGAAAGCTGTTCCACTGATTAATTGTTCTCTCTGTTAGGAACAAGAGAGTAACAGAATAACAGAGCTGGAAGGGACCTTGGAGGTCTTCTAGTCCAACCCCCTGCTCAAGCAGGAGGCCCTATAGCAGTGATGGCGAACCTTTTAGAGACCGAGTGCCCAAACCACAACCCAAAACCCACTTATTTATCGCAAAGTGCCAGGGCCGCATCAGCATTATGGTGCCCTCGGGGGGAATGGGGGCGTGGCCCACTGGGTGGGCATGGCTGCGGTTGTCACGGCAGACTGGGTGGGCATGGCTGGTGTCATGTGTCTGACTAATGAAACACTAATATTGAATATTCTTGCTTTGACAGCTGGGGTGGGCATGGCCACCTCGATATTGCTCATGGGAGGATGCCTGTGGGGGCCGGGCAAGGTTGGGGAGATTCAGGGGGGTCTCTGGCAGGTGAGGCGGTGGGCAGGAGGCCCAGCATAGATGGGGGGAGACATGCAATCCTAGCTGGGACTGGGGGGCCATGGCGCCGATGGGGATCCAGCTTTCCCTGCTCAGGGTGGCCTTTGGTTTGCTGGACGTGGGCGTGCTCTACCACCTCTACTCAAGCTTGCCAACTGGCCGCTTTGTCTCCTTTGTGCTGGGTGGGCTGCTGCTTCGGGCGGCGGTGGCAGCCTAATGGACCTGTGCAAGCTGCTGGCAGCAGCGGCGCGCGTGCCCATAGAGAGGGCTCTGAGTGCCGCCTCTGGCACGTGTGCCACAGGTTCACCACCACTGCCCTATAGGATTTCAGTCAAATGGTAGTCCAACCTCTTCTTAAAAACCTCCAGTGTTTCCTAACTTACAACCTAAATGTTGGAGATGTGGAAATTTAGATGCAACTTATTTTCATGTGTGGTGGACTTGTAGGATGGTTAAAGCATTTTGGATAAAGATTTGGTGGAATATTCAAAATGTCTTTAAGAAAAAGATAAAGTTTAAGCCTCAGCTATTTTTGCTGGGTATTATGGAAAATTTGGATAAAAAAGAAATG